CCCTGTGGTTGTTCCTCTTCAGTCTTAGATCCTCAGGTCCCTGTTCCTCTTCAGTCTTAGATCCTCAGGTCCCTGTGACTGTTCCTCTTCAGTCTTAGATCCTCAGGTCCCTGTTCCTCTTCAGTCTTAGATCCTCAGGTCCCTGTGACTGTTCCTCTTCAGTCTTAGATCCTCAGGTCCCTGTGGTTGTTCCTCTTCAGTCTTAGATCCTCAGGTCCCTGTGGTTCCTCTTCGGTCTTAGATCCTCAGGTCCCTGTGGTTGTTCCTCTTCAGTCTTAGATCCTCAGGTCCCTGTGGTTGTTCCTCTTCGGTCTTAGATCCTCAGGTCCCTGTGGTTGTTCCTCTTCGGTCTTAGATCCTCAGGTCCCTGTGGTTGTTCCTCTTCAGTCTTAGATCCTCAGGTCCCTGTGGTTGTTCCTCTTCAGTCTTAGATCCTCAGGTCCCTGTGGTTGTTCCAAAGTCCAGGCTCTGGACAAAGATGATGGAGCCTTTTCAGCCCGGGCGCCTCGGCTTTGGAACGACCTGCCTGAGAAGATAAGGCTCGCACCATCAGTTTAATCTTTTAAATCGCATTTTTATCGGTTGGCCTTCCTCTGACTGGTTTTACCTTTGGTTTTATTGCTTATATCTTTTCTTTTTATTTATTTATTTATTACAATTACTTTAATTGTTTGTATCGTCGTCTGTTTTTGTATGATTTCTGTGTTTTGTGTTGTTCTTTGTGGCTTGTGCAGCACTTTGTAAACCGTGTTTTTATTCTTCTTCTAAAAGGAGCTGGTCACCTGAAAACTACCACTACATGACATCACAAGGTGGAACAGAGCATGTTGAGCTTTGGAGATGTAGACAGACTCGTATTAAAGAGTCACTGAAACACGTGTGAATGAAACAAAACACAACTCCAGATATGTTTTTGAAGAGATAACGACATTATAACTTGGTTTAAAGTTCACAAGAGTCAGTTTTGTGTGACATAAATCTTCTCAGTTTTGTGTTTTAATTGTGTCACAGTCCATTTCCTGTTTTATCTTGACGACTGAGAATCTCCGCAGACGTTTCAGTCGCGTTGGCGTCTTTGCTCTCGGTGCAGTTTGCTCTGGTGAATGATGGTTTTTCTTCTTCTTCTTCTTCTTCGGGGGTGTGAGCGCGGTGACAGTGAGCGTGCCCTCCTCCTCCGTGTGTGTGTGTGTGTGTGTGTGTGTGTGCGTGTGTGTGTGTGTGTGCGTGTGTGTGTGTGTGTGCGTGTGTGTGTGTGTGTGTGTGTGTGTGTGTGTGTGTGTGTGCTCTCACGTCGCAGGATTTCCTCTAAATCTCACTTATATTCTGCGCTTCATGAGACAAAGCCGACCGCCATTTGGTTCCATTCAGAGGGACCGCCGGAGCGTGACAAGATGGAGCTCATTCTTCTCCAAGGAAATTCAACCACGAACGTCTGACACACACCGCCGAAGAGATATCACACACACACACACACACGCACACACACACACACACACACACACACACACTGTAGAGGAGATGAGAGTTTGGGATGTAGACATAGTGACACTGCGGGGGACAGAGTTATAGGTCTCGTTCCAGGTCTAGAATCTTATAATGTCATAATTTCAGTTTCGGGGCAGGGGCCTGTTGACGTTCTGCAGCGGGTTTCTGACGTTCCCTGCGGTTGTGACGCTAACTGAACGCACTGCTCTGTCAGAAGGTGCGTTACTCAAGTCAAGGGGGGTTCACAGCAGCGCGTCAAAGCATCCGGTTTCTAGACGTCCTGTGTTTTTGCTGCGCGTCTGAGCGTTTTGGCGTCGACGTTCGTTAGTTGTGCGTCCAGAGAGTCAGCGTCAAGAAGTTGAAAATGTTGAAATTCTCGTGTCAGATGTCAACCAATCGGGGACGAGTATCCAGAGACGCAGCGACGTTATTATCAGGAAGAAAAAGAAAAACCCGAGAACCAGAACCACAAACATGAGCGGAGCATAAATATTTACACCACAGTCACCGAACTGATCGCGGGGACTAAACCAGAACTGGACCAGGACTGAACCAGTGTGATGCCACTGCTGTTAAAGGTCTATTCAGCCAAGGGTGACCAGAATTTCAAAAATAAAACTGTTACATCCCCATTTTTGTGGTGGTTGGTAATGATAAAATATGAGTCAGTACAGACACATTTTCTTTGTGCTTTGGTCGTTTTTAAGCAGATTTTCAGTATTTTTCCTAAACAAATGTCAGTTTATGTCTCTCCTCACTGTTGGTAGGATCAGATTGGTCAAAAATAGAGACACCTGGGACATTTCTTGAATAAAACTGGGACATATCAGTGGTTTTGTATAAATTTGCTGGGACATTGGACACAGGCTCAAAACTGGGACTTCCGGGTAAACAGTAGCCAGACCGGCACCATCTAGTGCCTCTGCTCAATTTCATTTCTCTCCAGTGACAAGATCAGGAAACCAAGTACACCAGACAGTTTGCAAAAACCCTGGAAGTGTGATTTCATTCACCAGCCAATCAGCGAAGAGACAAACATTCTGTGTTGTCAATGATTCCCGAGATCGAGGATTTAAAGCCGAAACAAAGAGAATGTTTGGTGAATTTTATCAAGGGGAAAGACGTTATTGTTCTTCTTCCTACAGGATTTGGGAAAAGCTTCATATACCAGTTTTCCCGTTAGTGGAACATTACATACGTCACGACCAAACACCAGCGACTGGTTAAATGAAAAAAGGACCCGCCTACTGTCGAGCGAATGAATCCTAATACTGTGAGGTCACACGGTTTCCACCAAGTGAAATGAATCTCATGAATCAGGTTAGGGAAACAGGGACGTCTGGTCACTCTGTTTTTGTTAAAAACTCCTAAACAGAACCATGAACGCTTGGACTGATCACAGGAAAATGAAAATGTGTTGACTTAAATCAAATTTGCATTTTGTCCTGAGTTTTAAAAAAGTGTTTATTCGCTCATTTTCTAGGCCAATAATATGAAATACAGACGGGAGCAGCTAAAATTAATGTTATTTAAATGCAGATTTTTGAGATCTTGAGTTGAATCACTCATGGAAATTAACAGTTTCAACATTTGTGCTTTTACTTTTCGGATATTTTGCGGTAAAGTACAATGTGATCAATAGGAGTAAGACATTATCACATTGTTGAATCTAAAAACCACCATCCTGAGTCTGCAGCTCAGACCCAGAGTCACTAAAACTCTATAAAACACAGATCAGAGGCGGAATAATCTCATGAATGCAAATACAAAACATTTAAAGTTCTCCTGAGAAAGTTTTTCCTCTCAACAGAAGAGTCCCAAAAGACAAATCCACAATCTACGCTTTAAGAAACTAAAAAGTATAATGAATGCGTTTATCTGTCGGTTTTTTATTGTTTTATTTTATACTCTGCAAAAAAAACTTCACCAAATTTAAAGATCTAAACACTTAAATCTCTTCAGAAAATGACTTAAAAGCAGTGAAATGATGTGTCCACGCAGCCAGATCATTTCACTTGACACGTTAAATCTGAAAATAAACGGCCTCTAGATGAGAATGAAGCCGTCTCGAGTAAACAGATAATAAATCTGAAAACAAGATAAAAAATAACCCGATATAAGTTTTAAAATCTTGGCCGGATCAGAGACGTTTGCAGAGTGCAGATAAAACGACTCGAGGAAGAATCGTTATGAGGTCAAATCAATACAAAATACAAGATAAAGTTTTACAACGTTTGGGAATATCTTAAGTCACATCTCGACTTACACGACGACATAACAAGTACTGCATAACAAGTACTGCATAACAAGTACTACATAACAAGTACTGCATAACAAGTACTACATAACAAGTACTGCATAACAAGTACTACATAACAAGTACTACATAACAAGTACTGCATAACAAGTACTGCATAACAAGTACTACATAACAAGTACTACATAACAAGTACTAGATAACAAGTACTACATAACAAGTACTAGATAACAAGTACTACATAACAAGTACTACATAACAAGTACTGCATAACAAGTACTACAGTTAGTCCTGGGTTAGTCCTAAATTAGTCTTGGTTCAGTCCTGGGTTAGTCCTGGGTCAGTCCTGGGTTAGTCTTGGTTTAGTCCTGGTTCAGTCCTGGGTTAGTCCTGGAATCAGTCCTGGGTTAGTCCTGGTTCAGTCCTGGGTTAGTCTTGGTTTAGTCCTGGTTCAGTCCTGGGTTAGTCCTAGTTCAGTCCTGGGTTAGTCTTGGTTTAGTCCTGGTTCAGTCCTGGGTTAGTCCTAGTTCAGTCCTGGGTTAGTCTTGGTTTAGTCCTGGTTCAGTCCTGGGTTAGTCCTAGTTCAGTCCTGGGTTAGTCTTGGTTTAGTCCTGGTTCAGTCCTGTGTTAGTCCTGGAATCAGTCCTGGGTTAGTCCTAAGTTAGTCTTGGTTCAGTCCTTGTTCAGTCCTGGGTTAATCCTGTTTCAGTCCTGGGTTAGTCTTGGTTTAGTCCTGGTTCAGTTCTGGGTTAGTCTTGGTTTAGTCCTGGATCAGTCCTGGGTTAATCCTGTTTCAGTCCTGGGTTAGTCCTGGTTCAGTCCTGTTTCAGTCCTGGGTTAGTCCTGGTTCAGTCCTGGGTTAGTCCTGGTTCAGTCCTGGTTCAGTCCTGTTTCAGTCCTGGGTTAGTCCTGATTCAGTCCTGGTTCAGTCCTGGTTCAGTCCTGGGTTAGTCCTGGTTCAGTCCTGGTTCAGTCCTGGTTCAGTCCTGGGTTAGTCCTGGTTTAGTCCTGGTTCAGTTCTTGGAGTGTTTCTTCTGCCTGTGAAGTTTTGACAGCCGAGTCGCGTCTGTGAATTCGCGTTCGTCCTGAAGAAAGTGAAACCGTTTCATTTCATTTTTCGTGATCATAATTCTTGAAGTCGTAACTTTTCAGTTCATATTCTGACGGACGCTTCAGTTTGAATGATTTTAATTTGTGTTTGATTTATCTCAGACACTCACAGCTCTTTGTTTGCTCTTGTTGTTTCGTGTGGTTTCAGGTGAGTTCCATGTCTCACCTGGAGATGGAGCTGGGGTCAGACGACGGGCCTCTGCAGGAGCTGCCCTTCACCCCCGTCCACGCCCCCCTGCTCAACCTGGGGGTCAGCGCACACAGGTCAGACACACACACACACACACTCACATGATACATACACCAGGAGAGAAAAACTCAAATTTACAGAGGCCAAAATTAAAAACTGGGACTAAGTTTGTGGATGTTGTGGGTCTTGGCTGACACGTCTCTTCAACATCGCGTGGCGGTCGGGGACAGTGCCTCTGGACAGGCAAACCGGGGTGGTGGTCCCTCTGTATAAGAAGGGGGACCGGAGGGTGTGTTCCAACTATAGGGGAATCACACTCCCCGGTCTCTGTCAGGGACTGGAGAGGAGAATCCGGCCGATAGTCGAACCTCGGGTCCAGGAGGAGCAGTGTGGTTTTGGTCCCGGTCGTGGAACACTGGACCAGCTCTACTCTCTCCATCAGGCGCTCGAGGGTTCGTGGGAGTTTGCCCAAACAGTCCACATGTGGATCTGGAGAAGGTGTTCGACCGTGTCCCTCGTGGTGTCCTGGTGTTAGGTTTATCTAAACATTATAAACAAGAAGAAAGACAAGAGATTAATTCAGTTTTACTCATGAGGAGAACGGGCAGAGAGTGGGCATCAAAACCAACAGTCTCCACACGTTCTGATGACTCAAGGCTGTTCTCCTCTTTTTATTTCATTAGGAGGCCCTAGTTACAGAATGATAATTCTCAAGGGGAAGGGGAAACAGCAAAGACATAATAAGAAACTGATGCAGCTAAGCATAGTACAAACACATAAAACATGATTAACAATCAGGAGGTGCCTTAGGTCAGACACCATCATAACTCTTCATGTGTGACAGTGGGAGTTGGCTTCATGTGAGGAATCATCTGGAGGTTCACTAGAGCGACAGGACACTGCACACAGTTGTCAAACACACAGAGGTTATTCATATTCATACAAGTGATTGGTACATTATAAATCAAAGAATTGTAGTACATAAATGGTTAACTCATAGGCCTAGAATATCACACAAGTATTTAGCAAATATGGGATAATAAAATTATTCTGACACCTGTGGGGGGCGCTCTGGGAGTCTGGGGTCCGGTCCCTGTGTGACCGGAGCAGGAGCTGTGTTCGTTGTCGCAGTAAGTCAGACCTGTTCCCGGTGCATGTTGGACTCCGCCAGGGCCGCCCCTGTCACCGGTTCTGTTCATTGTATTTATGGACAGAATTTCTCGGCGCAGTCAGGGCCCAGAGAGGGTCCGGTTTGTGGACCACAGGATCATCTCTGCTGTTCACAGATGATGTTGTCCTGTTGGCTTCATCAGGCCAGGACCTGCAGCTCTGGGGCGGTTTGACCTGAGTGTGAAGCGTCTGGGATGAAGCTCCTACAAATCTGAGGTCGTGGTTCTCGAAAGGCGTCTTGTCGTCTCCGGGCGGGTGGAGAGTCTCTGCCTCAAGTGGAGGAGTTCAAGTATTTCGGGGTCTTGTTCTTGAGTGGGTGGAGGATGGAGCGTGAGATTGACAGGCAAAGCTCTCAATTTACTGGTCAGTCTTCGTTCCTCCCCTCACCTCTGGTCATGAGCTCTGGGTAATGACCGAAAGGACGAAATCGCAGATACAACCGACACAAATGAGTTTCCTCTGCAGGGTGTCTGGGTGCTCCCTTAGAGACAGGGTGAGGAGCTCAGTCACACAGGAGGAGCTCGGAGTAGTGCCGCTGCTCCTCCATGTCGAGAGGAGCACGTTGAGGTTCGGGAGGTGTTCATGTCCCACCGGGAGGAGGCCCCGGGGAAGACCCAGGACACACTGGAGGGACTATGTCTCTGGACTGACCTGGGAACACCTCAGGGTTCCCCTGGAGGAGCTGGAGGAAGTGTCTGGGGTGAAGGAAGTCTGGGAGTCCCTGCTTAGACTGATGCCCCTGAGACCCGACCCCGGAGAAGAGGACGAACATGGATGGATGGACTAAGTCGTTGGCCAAACTAAATATTTATTGAAACATTTCAACATCTGCATATTTTCTCTTTTTTGGAGATCTGTAATGTTAAACCTTTTCTTATTAAAATAAATGTTTAATAATAGTTTTGCTTAAACATAGAATCCAGAACAAACACAATATAAAATAATAACATTTTAAATAAATCATATCTCTATAATCGATCTGTATCCGGCGGCAGCTCTAATACAGATTTGATTTGATCTCGCAGGCCAAATATAATTATATCACAGGCCAAATTTGGCCCCTGGGCCTGAGTTTGACATGTCTGATACAAATGCACACACAACCTGGTGGTCAGGACACACAGGTGAGAGAAACACACACGTACACACGAGGAGAGGTCATGTGTGTCGTGTTCTCTCAGTGTGTTTAAATAGTGTGTTTCTCTCATCGCCAAAGAAAAAGAAAATCGAATTCTGCCAAAAGAACAAAAGTTTTAAGAGTGAATATTTGTCCGCTCATCCAGGAGGCTTCTTCACGTCCGACAGGGTCCTACATGTCACCGTCTCATGTCTGTGTGAAAGAGACACGGAAACTTTCACCATTTAAAGGTTGTATGGAGGATTTTTTTTTGTTTCAAATTGTTTATGAAAGTTTAAAATACCATTAGAGAGACGCAGCAGCCTTGTAATTATGACCAAAAAAAAAAAAAGAATGAAAATTTATCAACTGTGGACGTATTGAGGCCAGATAAACATCAGCCAATAGAAAACGAGACTGCCTCTTTGTCTATTGGCTGTCAGGTCATCAATCAAACTCCCTACGTTTCTAGTGTAACTGACTCGTCAGGATGTGGGGATCACGTGGTTTATGCAGCGGTTCTGAGAGGCTTTTTCAAAACTGTCGCTTCCTCACATTTCGCACAAAGTTTGTTGCGACGGCCGACGAGAATCCACGAGCAGTTTGCCGCAAATGAAAGTCAGTTTTTGAGGTCACTGAAAGAAGAAGAGAAGAAGGGGAAAAGGAGCGAAGACAAACCGAGGTGATTCTTGGAGATTCCTTCCAGTGACGGCGCGACTGAAGCAGACAAAGGGTCTAAAAACTGACACGTCGTTCGATAAATTATTTCTAGACAGGAAACTTCAACAGTAATTCTGAACGCGCACTGGCTGGAAGCAAGCGTGATTTCTAGAGTAAAGTAGATGTTTCTACTGAGGCTGTGGAGGAGGAAGGTGGTGTCACGCATGCACAACATTTGAAAAAGGACTGTCGCTGTATTTCTCTTCCTGCAAAAAAATCATCTATACAACCTTTAATGTCCCCAGAGTCAGAACTAAACCAGGACTAAACGCGGGGACTCGGGGTTTCAGTTTCAGTTCAGTGCTTCTGTTTAACTGCAAAAGGCTGAACGATTTGTGTTCTCTTCTTTTACACTTCACTTTATGATGATTCTTTTTGTGGAGATTTAAACACACATTTCTTATTGTGAAAGTCTCTGTAATGTTTTATGTCCAGCCCGTTATTTCTGCTGCGCTGAAGCTCTGACCTTTAGAGCTGAATAAACCCGTTCAACCCAACACACTGAACTCAGAGCAGACTGCAGCGAGGACAGGACGCGCGGGGACCTCAGAGGGACATACAGGGACCTCAGAGGGACGCACGGGGACCTCAGAGGGACATACAGGGACCTCAGGGGGACAGACGGGGACCTCAGAAGGACATATGTGGACCTCAGAGGGACATACAGGGACCTCAGGGGGACATACGGGGACCTCAGAGGGACATACAGGGACCTCAGGGGGACATACGGGGACCTCAGAGGGACATACGGGGATCAAAGAGGGACATACAGGGACCTCAGAGAGACATACGGGGACCTCAGAGGGACGGGGACCTCAGAGGGACATACGGGGACCTCAGGGGGACATACAGGGACCTCAGAGGGATATACGGGGACCTCAGGGGGACATACGGGGACCTCAGGGGGACATACAGGGACCTCAGAGGGACATAGGGGGATCAAAGAGGGACATACAGGGACCTCAGAAAGACATACGGGGACCTCAGAGGGACGGGGACCTCAGAGGGACATACGGGGACCTCAGGGGGACATACGGGGACCTCAGAGGGATATACGGGGACCTCAGGGGGACATACGGAGACCTCAGGGGGCCATACGAGGACCTCAGAGGGACATAGGGTGATCAAAGAGGGACATACAGGGACCTCAGAAAGACATACGGGGACCTCAGAGGGACATAGGGGGATCAAAGAGGGACATACAGGGACCTCAGAAAGACATACGGGGACCTCAGAGGGACGGGGACCTCAGAGGGACATACGGGGACCTCAGGGGGACATACAGGGACCTCAGAGGGATATACGGGGACCTCAGGGGGACATACGGGGACCTCAGAGGGACATGTGGGGACCTCAGAGGGACATACAGGGACGTCAAAGGGACATACGGGGACCTCAGAGGGACACACTGGGACCTCAGAGGGACACACTGGGACCTCAGAGGGACATACGGGGACCTCAGAGGGACATACGAGGACTTCAGAGGGACATACGGGGACCTCAGAGGGACACACTGGGACCTCAGAGGGACATACGAGGACTTCAGAGGGACATACAGGGACCTCAGAGGGACACACTGGGACCTCAGAGGGACATACGGGGACTTCAGAGGGACCTCAGAGGGACAAGGACCACAGAGGGACACGTGGGGACCTCATCACAGAGAGGGGACTCTGCAGTGGTGATATCGATATCGACCGATACCAGTTCAGGAACTTTCAATCACTGAACAACTTTGAAAGAATAAAAGTTATTTTGTTTTACTTTGTGTGTTTTACCTGTGCTCTCCTCTCCACAGCTCCGGCGCGGTCAGCTCGCGTCGCGCTCTCGCCCGCCTCACTTCTGCCGGGTTCTCGGAGGTGTTGGACTACAGGGGGCATCCGGCCGAGACCCTGGACCCCACGGAGCCTACGACCTTTGACCCTCAGCGGGAGGAGAACGACCCCCTGCAGGGAAACCTGCTCCTGCTGCAGTTCCAGGGCTTCACCAGGTGAGGCGCTGTTTCCTGTTAAAGACAGACTCAGCAGAACTGAGGAGCTCTGAGCATGGATCTATAATTAAATAATATAAATATAATAAGAAAAACATTTATAAGCCCCTCCCCCTCTGTCCCGGCTCGAGGCCGACTAGTGGTCGCTGCAGGTACTGCAGCTCCCAGGAGCTCCAGCCCAGAAACAAGTCTCCCACAGAAGCACAATGCATTTTTGGAATTCAAACTGTCCATGTTCTGGCAGAAGGTCCGGCTTTCACAAAGGTCAGATTTTGTAGGATTCTTTTCTATTATCACAACATAAACTTTTAAAAAATATTAAATCCTCAAAGCACATAAAAGTTTGTCAGACTGAGCCGCTCTGAGCCGCTCTGAGCCGCGTCTCTCCGCTCTAGCAGCTCTCGCTCTGATTGGTCCAAACGCTCCACGTCGTGCTCGTTAAAGACGTCACACGAGTGGGAGGAGCTCATCTGGACTGAGGAAGTAAATGCGGAAGAGAAAACCCATGAGCCAACGAGCACAGACCCCTGAAAACAACACGACGCATCTTGGATTCAACAATGATTTGATTTGAAGACAGTTCTGTGGCTCTGAGGGACAGACACAGGACACACGTGACGTCTGAAGGTGCTTCTGTTCACTGTCTCTGCCACAGACTGTGTAAAAAACTGCACTAAGGGAGTTTGAGTCAGTCAAATGAAGCTCATGAGGTCTGCAGTTTAGAGCCGAGTCCCACATGAGGAACAGGAATTTATTTATGGAAGTAAAAAATATGGACATGAAATAAAAAGACCAGGATCATGTAGAACTGGTGAATGTGAAGATTTTCAGACAGCAGCAGGTACAGAGACGAGACAGTTGTTCAGTGTAAAGTCAGTTGGTTGATGGAGTCAGAATCACGTCCACGTTCACTTCCTGTGTGTAAAACCGCGGTCAGCGTGTTGTCAGCGTGTGTCTGTGTCTGTTGGTTCTGTGTCTGTTGGTTCTGTGTCTGTCGGTTCTGTGTCTGTCGGTTCTGTGTCTGTCGGTTCTGTCTGTCGGTTCTGTGTCGGTTCTGTGTCTGTCGGTTCTGTGTCTGTCGGTTCTGTGTCTGTCGGTTCTGTGTCTGTCGGTTCTGTCGGTTCTGTGTCTGTCGGTTCTGTGTCTGTCGGTTCTGTGTCTGTCGGTTCTGTGTCTGTCGGTTCTGTCTCTGGTCTCGGCGCTCGTCGTGTGTCTCGGGTTTGTGATATGAACCGTGATCAAACTGAAGTCAGAGTTTGTTCGGCTCAGATGTTTCAGTTTCATGTGAAGAGTTCATTTATTTTTCATTGTGTTGATCTGAGTCTTTACACGACCCCGACAAACCCGACAACCCAGACGACACCGACCACCCTGACCACCCCCAACGACCCCGACCACCCGACGCCCCCGACCACCCAACGACCCGACCACCCTGACGACGACCCCGACCACCCTGACGACGACCCGACCACCCTGACGACGACCCCGACGCCCCTGACCACCCGACGACCCCGACGACGACCCGACCACCCCCGACGACTCCGACCACCCCGACGACCCCGACGACGACCCGACCACCCTGACCACCCGACGACCCGACGACCCGACCACCCCTGACCACCCCGACGACCCACGACCCGACGACCGACCCCGACCCGACCCCCGACCACCCCTGACGACACCCGACGACGACCCCCGACCACCCTGACGACCCCCCGACGCCCCTGACCCCGATGACCCGACGACGACCCGACCACCCCGACGACTCCGACGACCCCGACGACGACGACCCCCGACGACGACCCCGACCACCCTGACCACCCGACGACCCCCGACGACGACCCCGACCACCCCTGACCACCCCGACGACCCCGACGACGACCCCGATGACCCCGACTACCCCGACCACCCCGAACACCCCGAACACCCCTGACCACCCTGACGACCCCCGACGACGACCCGGACCACCCAGACTCTGATTCACACAGACCGGACACGCTGTTCCAAAGCATTCAGAAACTTACGTCTGTCCCACTCTGTCCCCTCCTCGTCCCCTCCTCTGTCCACTCCTCTGTCCCCTCCTCGTCCCCTCCTCTGTCCACTCCTCTGTCCCCTCCTCGTCCACTCCTCCTCCCTCCTCGTCCCCTCCTCTGTCCCCTCCTCGTCCACTCCTCTCCACTCCGTCCCTCCTCTGTCCCCACTCCTCTGTCCCCTCCTCGTCCCTCCTCGTCCACTCCTCCTCCACTCCTCGTCCCCTCCTCTGTCCCCTCCTCGTCCCCTCCTCGTCCACTCCTCCTCCACTCCTCGTCCCCTCCTCTGTCCCCTCCTCTGTCCCCGTCCTGTCAGCTCCTGTCATGTCTGACACAACCCCAACCCCCTCACTCTGACAGACTGACTGTGCAGAATATTCTCTCTCTAAGTCCTTCTCCCTCTCTCTCTCTCTCTCTCTCTCTCCTCCTCTCTCTATCCTCTCTCTCTTTCCTCTCCCCTCTTCTCCCTCTCCCTTTCTTCTCCTTCTTCTCTCCCTCTGTCTCTCTCCTTCTCACTCCCTCTCTTCTCTTCTCTTCTCTTCTCTTCTCTCTCTCCTCTCTTTCTCTCTCCTCCCCTTCCCCCTCTCTTTCTCCTCTCTCCCCCTCTCTCTCCTCTCTCTTTTCCTCCCTCTTTCTCCTTCTCCTCTCTCTCTTTCCTTCTCTCTCTCTCCCTCCCACTTGTCTCTTCTCTTCTCTCCCTCCCTCCTCTCTCTCTCTCTCTCTCTCTCTCTCTCCTCTCTCCTCTCTCCTCGTCTTTCTCTCCTTCTCTCGTACATCTGTTCGTTCTCGTTGTTGTCAGGAGGACAGTACAGGACGGTACAGGACACTTCAGTACATTAGACTTCGCTCTGTTGCCGTGGTGACGCATCATAAACATCAGATGTGTGAGTGTGGACAGTTTTCCTCCTCTGACTGTCCTCGTGTCGTCTCCTCTCACAGCGTCTCCGTCCCGTTTTAGACCTGGTTTAGTCCTGGTTTAGACCTGGTTTAGACCTGGTTTAGACCTGGTTTAGTCCTGTTTTAGTCCTGGTTTAGACCTGGTTTAGACCTTGTTTACACCTTGTTTAGACCTGTTTTAGTCCTGTTTTAGTCCTGGCTTAGACCTGTTTTAGTCCTGGTTTAGACCTGTTTTAGTCCTGTTTTAGTCCTGTCTTAGTCCTGTTTTAGTCCTGGTTTAGACCTGGTTTAGTCCTGTTTTAGTCCTGTTTTAGTCCTGGTTTAGTCCTGGTTTAGTCCTGGTTTAGGCCTGGTTTAGACCTGTTTTAGTCCTGTTTTAGTCCTGTTTTAGTCCTGTCTTAAACCTGTTTTAGTCCTGGTTTAGACCTGGTTTAGTCCTGTTTTAGTCCTGGTTTAGTCCTGGTTTAGTCTTGTTTTAGTCCTGGGTTTAGACCCGTTTTAGACTTGTTTTTAGTCCTGGTTTAGTCCTGGTTTAGAGTTGTTTTAGTCCTGTTTTAGTCCTGTTTTAGACCTGGTTTAGTCCTGGTTTAGTCCTGTTTTAGTCCTGGTTTAGACCTGTTTTAGACCTGGTTTAGTCCTGTTTTAGTCCTGTTTTAGACCTGTTTTAGACCTGTTTTAGTCCTGTTTTAGTCCTGTTTTAGTCCTGTTTTAGTCCTGTTTTCCTGTTTTAGTCCTGTTTTAGTTTAGACCTGTTTTAGTCCTGGTTTAGTCCTGTTTTAGTCCTTTTTAGACCTGTTTTAGTCCTGTTTTAGACCTGTTTTACCTGTTTTAGACCTGTTTTCCTGGTTTTAGTCCTGTTTTAGTTTTTAGACCTCCTGTTTTAGACCTGTTTTAGTCCTGTTTTAGTCCTGGTTTAGACCTGTTTTAGTCCTGGTTTAGTCCTGGTTCAGTCCGAGTCGGTGTAAACGCGGCGGTGTGTTTACAGCGACTCTGTACGAGCAGAATGGAGGTTGGAGACGTTGAAGACGTTGGAGCTGCTGCGTTTGGCTCAGAGCTGCGATGGTGCGGGCCTCAGAGGAAGACTGGAATGGTGTCAGAAAATGGGCCAGATAAGACGAGGTAAAAATAGAAAGGCGTGTTATTGAGAGGGTTCAATGGAGCCGTGGAAGAGAAGAAAACAAGAAGCACCAGATTAAGGTTCTGGAGAGAATTAAGATCGCGGCTGGAGGCGCTCGGGGCTGGAGGAAAACCAGGAGCTGTGTGCGAAGTTTGGCTCTGTTCACGCTGCCGGTTTGTGGATTAAAGCTGATATATTACATAAAAATGATGTTTGTGAGCTTTAAGCCGTGTTCTAACGTTCCCTCCTCAGAAACAGACCTGGAGTTGTGTTTTGTGATGTCACGAAGTGGTGGTTTTCAAGTGAACAGCTCATTTTAGAGACTTTAGAAAGAGGAACTGAGGATAAATCTGCAGGATTAATTTGTTAAACATGTGTGAATGAAGCAAAATACAACTCCTAAATGCACAAAAAAGAGAAAAATAAAGGTCCCGGGCTGTTATTTGCTCTTCTGGGGTTGTTCTGGGGGTGTCCTAGACTCATGCAGACTTTTTGGGCTGTTCTAGATTGTTCTGAGCTGTTTGGGGCTGTTCTTAGTTTTTCTGGGGTTGTTCTGGGCTGTTCTAGGTCGTATAGGGCTATGTAGAGGCTGTTCTGGTCTGTTCTAACCTGTTTTTGGTTGTTTTGAGCTGGTCTGAGGCTATTCCCAACTGTTCTGGGCTGTTCTTGGCTTTTCTTGACTTTTCTTGGGCTATTCTTGGTTGTTCTTGTCTGTTCTTTACTGTTCTGGGCTGTTCTGGAGCTATTCTCGGTTGTTCTTGACTGTTCTTGGACTATTCTTGACTGTTCTTGGCTCTTCTAAGATGTTCTTGGCTGTTCTTGACTGTTCTTGACTGTTCTGGAGCTATTCTCGGTTGTTCTTGACTGTTCTTGGCTGTTCTTGGGCTCTTCTTTACTGTTCTGGGGTTGTTCCCTGCTGTTCTGAGTTGTTCTTGAATGTTCTGGGGTTGTTCTAAGCTGTTCTTGGCTGTTCTTGGCTGTTCTTTGATGTTCCGGGCTCTTGGTGGCTCTTCTGGGCTGCTCTGTGGGTGTTTTAGGCTGATGCAGACTTTTTTGGGCTGTTCAGTGCTGCTCTTTGCTGTTCTGATTCTGTTCTTGGCTGATACAGGGTTGGGGGCTTTTCTGGTGCTGTTTTTATTTTTTTCTGGGATGTATAGGAGCTGTTCTGGGGCCTCATTTATAAACCTCATTTACGCACAAATCCTCGCGTAGGTTCTCTTCACGACAACCGCGGAATTTACGATACTCCTCCGAATCTCCTACTGAGCAAAACTAACATCATGATCATGAATAAAACATAAGTATTAAATTAAAAATCGATTTCATGATGTCGATATTAGCATAGAGTTTGAAGATTAGAAATGTAATCTGTGAACATTTGTAGCATCCAAACTGCACAAATCTGTCTATTTATATATGAATATCTAATCATAATTAAAGGGTTATTCAGTTTGTGGGTGAAACACGAGAAAACATTTTGGTGTAAAAGACAGAACAGGAGGAAATTGATGCTATTTTAAGAGAAACATGAATATTTGATCCCGTTTCTCCCGCGTGACGAGCTCCTTTCGGCGGGCGATGGACGGACTGGAGTCGCGTCGCCCCCTGCAGTGCGGCGCTGGTTCCGCTCGGGCTCGTTTGGGTTCATTTCGCTCCGGGTCTTCGCTCTGAAGAAGAAGAAGAAGAAGAACCTGCCGTACATGTTTAACGACGAAACCCAAACCGTCAGATGAAACGCGAAGCTCCTCAGACCTGCGGCGGTTTTAATGACGCCGACATCGTTTGCGAATCACACGTTTCCAATTAAGGATCACGGTTGAGTCGTGCCCACGGTAAAATGTACATGTGGACGGGCAGAGTAATTACGCAGACTTAAACCTTGAACCAGTTCATATCATCTGCTTTTCTGACACTTAAACTGTCCTCCAGCTGTAAATCTGAAGTGTAGGTCCATTAAAGCTGCAAGAGCTCACATGAACACTGAGTATAAATATTCAGATTACATTTTAGACTTGTGTTTTTCATTAATATTTGGTTCTTGGCTGTTCTGGGGCTGATTTGTGGGTGTTTTGGGGTTGTTCTGGGCTGATCTTGGCCATTCTGCGCTGTTTTCTAGTTGTGCTGGGGCTGTTCTTGATTCTTCTGGTCTGTTTTTGGCTGTTCTGTGGCTCTTCGAGGCTGTTCTTGGGCTGATCTCAGCTGTTCTGGGACTAGTCTTGGGCTGTTCTTGGTTGTTCTTGGATGTTCATGACTGTTCCTGGCTGTTCTCGGCTGTTCTGGGACTGTTCTGGGCTGTTCTGAGCTGTTGGGGGCTGTTCTGAAGCTGTTCCTGGCTGTTCTCGGCTGTTCTGAAGCTGTTCTTGGCTGTTCTTGGCTGTTCTGGGACTAGTCTTGGGCTGTTCTTGGTTGTTCTTGGTTGTTCTTGGATGTTCATGACTGTTCCTGGCTGTTCTGGGACTGTTCTAGGCTGTTCTGGGCTGTTGGGGGCTGTTCTGAAGCTGTTCTTGGCTGTTCTGGGACTAGTCTTGGGCTGTTCTCGGCTGTTCTTGGTTGTTTGTGGCTGTTTGTGATTGTTCCTGGCTGTTTTCTGGGCCGTTCTTGGCTGTTCTGGGGCTGTTCTTGACTGTTCTCAGCTGTTCTTGGATGTTCTTGGCTGTTCTTGGATGGTCTTGGTTATTCTTGGCTGTTCTTGGGCTGTTCTGAGCTGTTTTTTGACTGTTCTTTGGCTCTTCTTGGCTGTTGGTGGCTGTTCTTGGCTGTTCAGGGGCTGTTCTTGGCTTTTCTTAGCTGTTCTTGGTGGTTCTTGGCTGTTCTAAAGATATTCTTGGCTGTTGGTTTCTGTTCTGAGGTTGTTCTAGGACTGTTCTTGTCTGTTCTCAGCTGTTCTTGAATGTTCTGTGGCTGTTCTTGGCTGTTCTGGTACTGAGGACACAGATCTAACAGAGAGACATGATTTTTAACGAGACTTGAACGTTCTTCAGCTGAACCCGAAACATATTCACTGCTGTAGTGTCCTTGGGCAAGACACTTCACCTGTTTTACCTGGGAGTGTCATGAAAGCCAAAGTACCTGACTTTATTCTTGTTAATAATTAATTAATAATTAAATAAATAATTAAAGTTATAAGTGAAATTGTAAATATAAATTTGTTGTTCATATGCTGCTTTTCTTTCTTGGAATTTTGTCTTTTTTTTTTGGCTTTATAAGAACTTCAGCCTTAAACCTTTCAGTCTTGATCCATGGGGTTGTGGACTATTTTTTATTTATTTTTTTTTTTTTTTGTAGTGCTGCAAAATGACAGAATAAACTACTACTACACACCAGAGTAGGGATATTTAAAATAAAAAGTATAAATAAAATTGTGAAAATAGTGTAACATTGTCCGTTCATGATCTGGAGGACTTCTGTCGGTGCATTTTTTGCCTTTTGGTCATTTTCAAGGACTGATTTTCTGTATTTTTGCAAAACAAATGCAAATACTTCCTCCTCTTTACTGTTCACGTGGATCAAATTGGTCAAAAAAATAGACTTGGGACATTTCTGGAATAAAATTTACCTGTTCGTCTGTTGAAAAGGTTTGATTTTGATCCCGGTCCGTCCCTCGTGTCTCCCGCAGGGTCCCGGAGTCCGGACTGGCCCCGGACTGGCCCCGCAGCGTCTACTTCACCTTTCAGCTGTACAGGTTTCCCCCGGTGACCACGCAGCCCCTCACCCTGCTCCCCGACCAATCGCAGCCCGCCGCCCGGCAGAACGACCAATCGCAGAGCCGAGCCGAGTCCCTCTGCCTCCTCGCCACCGCCAACCGAGACGGATCCACCAACTCAGGTACGAGAGACGCACGAGTGAAGTACGGAAATATTTTAATATGTGTGGAACTTTTCTCGGTTCTGCAAACTGTTTTACAATCTGACATTTTATTCACTGTTGGAAAAAGTCAAATTAATTCTCTGCATTAGTGTCGGGCGGTAACACAGTTCTACAGTTTCCCGCGGTAAAAAAATCTGTAGCGTTTAAGGACCTAATATAATATTATCATTTATTGATCCCTACATTTGTTTGCTCAGCACAGATGAATGTGTGGTTGTATTTTCAGTTTAATGGTTCACGATTTAAAACTAATAAAGTCTATAATGTTTCTTTTAACTCCTAACTAGAGTGAGGAGTCGACGTTTGATTAGTTTTGATCCGTTGTCACGTGACGCTCATAAGAGAATGAGACAAAACAACAAGTCCGACCACAAGAGAGTTGGTCCCCCCAAAAAAATAGTAGTACTTCTGCAATTTGACAGCATTTTGGCTTCAGGACACATTGTTTACGTTTTACAGAATTGAAACTTAAAACCACATGACTCATTTGCATAAACTATAAACGCTTCTTGTGTCGCTGATGCGGTTCAGCTTCTGTCGGACTAAAGGACACGACTCATGGTTTTATTTTCAATTTAATGCTTTCACGATTTAAAACTAATAGTGTCTATAATGTTTCTTTTAACTGTGTGCGGGGAGACGATGTTTGATGAGTTTTGTTCTGTTGTCACGTGACGACAAGTCCGACCACAAGAGAATTGGTCCCAAAAAATAAATACTACTTCTACAGTTTGGCAGCATTTTGACTTCAGGACACAATTGTTTCAGTTTTATAGAAGTGAAACTTAAAACCACATGACTCATTTGCATAAACTACAAACAGTCTTTATGTCGCTGATGTGGTTCAGTTTGTGTTGGACTAAAGGACACAGTGACTCAGTGAGTGCGTATTACATGCACATCAGTAACCCGGTTATTAGCCATATCCCGGTTCTGTCAGTGTTCGTGTTACTGTGTTTACATGTTCACTGAGAAACCGGGACACTCATATCCACGTGTACATGATCAAATGGAGTGTCCCGGTTTCTTGACATAATCTTACAAATGCGCAGGCGCAAAAATTAACTTAAATCAATTTCATAAACCAGGAAAAATACAAACCGTGAGCTCCTTTAGCATAAGAAGCTAAGGAGCTACGAGATCTCCCACAATCCACTGTGCAGATTCTTCATTAAAATCTTCTGCATAAATAAACTCAACTTTACAACATATAAACCATAAACACTATAGACACATCAGCCCGTTTGATCAGATCATTCAGCTCTGATCACATTTGTTTACGTTTTACAGAAACGAAACTTAAGACCGTTTGGCTAATTAGCATAAACTGTTAGCGGCGATAAAAACAACTCGCTCCTTGTGCCGCTGATGCGATCAGTTTCTTTTTGGACTAAATGACACGACTCTGTGGATTATGTGTGTTATTTCTGTGACAGAAGAGGTGCTGATGATGGTGAGTGTGTTCTGTGCGTATAGTGTATAGGAGATAGTTCATGTTTTAGCTTTTCAGCGTCACACGAGTGCAGGTCGTACGAGTGCAGGTCGTACGAGTGCAGGTTTAGCGCAGCTCTTTATTTTACGTCATTTCACTCGTTTGGTCACTTTATTTATGTTGGTCAATTTATTTATGTCACTACTGTTGTGGTGAAAGGCTGGAAAGTGTCTTTTGGACGCATGTGACTCAACTTTATGTTGCAGTAACCGGGATTACATGCGTTTACATGCCACCATCAAGAAACCGGGATACTCAAAAAACCCGATCATAACCGGGTTATTGATGTGCATGTAAACGCACTCAGTGGAATATGAGTGTTGTTTCTGTGACAGAGGGGTGTTCTGCTGATGGTGAGTCTGTTCTGTGTTTCTGGTTCATGTGAAACTTTTCAGAGATTATACGTGTGCAGGTCGTACACACAGACTGTACAGCGGTGCGACTTCGTAGTTTATCAAAGTTGCACTAAAACATTTTGGTAACATGGTAAAACTGTAAACCCTGGTAAAATCCTGAGAAAGTTTAACGGTATCAAAATTTGGATCCCACCCAACCCTACTCTGCATCTGACCCGTTCTTCAAAGCCTCTGAAGCCCTTCCAGACTGACGGTATCGTACACAACACCTGGGAATATGTTTTATAGAACCGCGCAGAACTTTCCAACCGTAAAAAAGACATAAACTTTCTTTTTTTTCAGGCTAGAGAATTGCAGCTTTCCGAACATATTTCCAGCATCGTCCTACGTCAGGCGCACGCTGCGTGATGACGTAGTGCAGGCGTCTCCAACCTTTTTCTTCCGCTGAGCTCCTTTACAAAATGAAAATACCAGGGAGCTTCTCATTTTAGCGATCGCAAGAAACTTAGTAAATAAAAGAGCCACGGCCTTAGATGGTACAGTTTGATGCTTCTAAAACATAAAACATTTCTTACTGCATAAAGTTTGGCATTAAAACCATCAAACATTTATAATGGTAACGGCCTTTTAATTAACCAACATTGTGTTATACAGAACAATATATGTAATTCAGAAAACCCTTGGTGAGTTAAGAAAAAAATCCAGGTGAAGATAAATTTACTAAAAAATATCCTTGTTTTGTTCATTCTTGTTCTTAAAGTCTTGTTGGTGTTTTGTGGTTCAGTGGAAGAGTCAGTTTTCCTCGATCCATTTTAGAAACATTTGTGTAAAAGAGTCAGAGTCGGACCAAAGCAGAGACCAGAACCGGACACAGACGCACAAACACACACAACAACACACACAAACACACACAACAACACACAAACACACACACAACAACACACAAACACACACAACAACACACAAACACACACAAAACACACACAACACACACACACACACACAACACACACACACACAACACACACAAAACACAACAACAACACACACAAAACACAACACACACAACACACAAACACACACAAACACACACACACACACACACACACAACACACACAACACACACAAACACACACAAACACACACAAACACACACACACACACACACACACACACACACACACACACACACACACACACACACACACACACACACACACACACACACACAACAACACACACAAACACACACAACAACACACACAACACACACACAAACACACACACACACACACAACACACACAAACACACACAACACACAACACACACAACACACACACACACACACACACAAACACACAAAAACACACACACACACACACACACACACACAAACACACACACACACACACACACACACACACACACACACACACACAAACACACACACACACAAACACACACACAATCACACACAATCACACACAACAACACACACAAAAACACACAAACACACACAACAACACACAAACACACACACACAACACACACACAATCACACACACAATCACACACAATCACACACAACACACACACAAACACACACAACAACACACACAACAACACACACAACACACACACACACACACACACACACACAACACACACAACAACACACACAACACACACACACAAAACACACACAAACACACACACACACACACACACACACACACACACACACACACAAACACACACACAAACACACACAACACACACACAAACACACAATCACACACAACAACACACACACACACACACACACACACACACAGACTCTCACAGAGCACTGGTCCAAAACCCGGACATCTGTCTGCTCCTCCCAACAAAACACACACGTCTGCTCCAACTGCACTGCCACGAGTACTCTGCTTTAGACCTGGTTTAGACCTGGTTTAGTCCTGGTTTAGACCTGGTTTAGACCTGGTTTAGACCTGGTTTAGACCTGGTTTAGACCTGGTTTAGTCCTGGTTTAGACCTGCTTTAGACCTGGTTTAGACCTGGTTTAGTCCTGGTTTAATTCTGGTTTAGACCTGGTTTAGTCCTGGTTTAGTCCTGGTTTAGACCTGGTTTAGACCTGGTTTAGACCTGGTTTAGACCTGGTTTAGACCTGGTTTAGGTTTAGACTCTGGTTTAGACTTGGTTTAGATCTGGTTTAGCTCTGGTTTAGACCTGGTTTAGACCTGGATTAGACCTGGTTTAGACCTGGTTTAGACCTGGTTTAACCTGGTTTAGTCTGGTTTAGCCTGGTTTACCTGGTTTAGACCTGGTTTAGACCTGGTTTAGACCTGGTTTAGACCTGGTTTAGACCTGGTTTAGTCCTGGTTTAGTCCTGGTTTAGACCTGGTTTAGACCTGGTTTAGACCTGGTTTAGTCCTGGTTTATTCTGGTTTAGACCTGGTTTAGTCCTGGTTTAGTCCTGGTTTAGTCCTGGTTTAGACCTGGTTTAGACCTGGTTTAGACCTGACTGGTTTAGACCTGGTTTAGACTGGTTTACCTGGTTTAGTTCTGGTTTAGACCTGGTTTAGACCTGGTTTAGACCTGGTTTAGACCTGGTTAGACCTGGTTTAGTCTGGTTTAGCTCTGGTTTAGACCTGGTTTCCTGGTTTAGTTTAGACCTGGTTTAGTTGGTTGGTTTAGTCCTGGTTTAGACCTGGTTTAGTCCTGGTTTAGACCTGGTTTAGTCCTGAGACCTGTTTTAGACCTGGTTTGTTCTGGTTTAGTCCTGGTTTAGTTCTGGTTTAGTCCTTTTAGTCTGGTTTAGACCTGGTTTAGTCCTGGTTTATTCCTGTTTAATCCTGTTTGTTGGTAGTCCTGGTTTAGTTCTGTTTAGTTGTTTATTCTGGTTTAGTCTGGTTTAGTCCTGGTTAGTCCTGGTTTAGTCCTGGTTTAGTCCTGGTTAGAGTCTGGTTTAGTCTGGTTTAAGAGAGTTCTGGTTTAGTTGGTTTAGTTCTGGTTTAGTTCTGGTTTAGTTCTGGTTTAGGGCTTTGGTGTGAAGTTTGGATGGAGAGATTTTTTTATATTAATATTTTCATATTTATTGTAGTT